AGTGCCACCATCGCTACCAGTCCAGGTCATCTCCTTAAGCCATCCTCATCTGAGGGAGACTGGTGCTTTTGCATCTGCACTTTGCTGGTGCAAGCACTTAAACTGAGCTTAGCAGGTCTGGGTGCCAAGCTTAAAGCCTGACTGCAAGCTCATGGATGGATCCTGACCTCCTTGAGGCCTTGTGCAGGGGAAGGTGGCTGGGCTTGTTTCTGTCCTGGCTGTGCCGTGTATAAGCTCCTGGCTTTGTTAGCCCCACCAGTTGCAGGCAGCATCTGCTTTTCACAGCTTTGGGGAGGGGGATAAGGCATCTGGGTGGCTTTCAGTGACAGCAACAGGGAGGGCTGTGGCTGCCAACACTGCTTTATCTCACACTGCTCTTGTTGTGCCCCCAGTAATGATGCACCAGTGCCTGCTCCTGAGAAATGGGCTTTAATTCAGGTGCTGTGGGTGCATCTGCACCAGCCTCGGGCTCCTCGTCATCCCTGCCGGCTGCTTCGGGTTGTCTAGGCAGAAAATCAGATTTTCCCCCTTCTCAGTGTTTTCTTAAGTGCAAGATCTCGCCCCGGAGGAGGTGATGGTGTGTGAGGCTTCAGAACCACTCAGCTAATCCGTTGTAATTCATACCATATGGCCATTGTCCCTGGTGCAGGGAGAGGATCTGGTCATCCATATGCCCCCTGTGGTGATGGGCATCCCCAGCTCTGCCTTCTGCTGTGGTCCCTGCCACCCTCATGGTGGGACAGCTTGGGTGGGGGCTTGGCTGTTGTCCCATCACCAAGGATTTGGATCATCACTGAAGGCACTTCCCTCGGTTAAATTGCATTTAATTAGGCTTGTGGCTTCCTGAAACCGGGTGCTGAGGACCAGCAGCAGCACTGAGGCTGCTGCCACCTGCCCAGCTCCATCTGCCTGGGGACCTCTATGGGGAAGGAGCAGGGACACCCCAGTGCCAGCCACTGGCTGGGCGGTGGTTTCCTGTTGATGGTGATGGCACGGGTCTGTGGGGACCTTGGGTGCAGGTGGTGGTGGCTCCGCTGCTGCGGGTGCTCCTGCTGTCCCCTCCCTCCACAGCACCCTGCCAAGAATTTGTTCCCTCTCGACCAGGGCTGACATCACCCCTTTATCGCTCCCTGCTCCAAATGTGCCCAGCATCCGGGAGGCGTTGGCAGCGGGGCCCTGCCCTGCACACATGGGCTTTTCCTGGGTGCTTTTGTTCCAGATGGACCTGCCCTGCCCATGTCTCTTTTGGGGAGCCACATCCCCACTGCTGGCACCCCCACCCCCCCCCACTGGTGCCATCCCTGCTCAGTACACCCTCACCCTGGGCTTCCTTATCCACATGGATGGAGGTAGGATTAGCCCTTGCTGCACCTGCTCAGGTCCCCAGATGGATCTCCTCATGGTGTGGCTGCATTCAAACCCAACCTCTGCTGGAGGACCTGGATCTGAAGCGGTGGTGGTGGATCCTGCCAGGGCCATGAGCCTGTGTTTTGCTTGGCACCCCAGGCATGATTTGAGCTCAAGCCTATGGAAACAAGCAGCTCAGTGTGTTAATCCTCTCAGCCTTGGCACCCCAGCTCCCCTCTGGCTGATGGTGTCCTTGAGCCCAGCGCCATCCCCAGGCTGTGAGGCTGGTGACAGTGATGACAGCTTCATCTTGGCAAGGTGTCTTGGACAGGGTGGTGGGACACACAGTCCAAAAGCTCTGTATGGGAGGTGGAATCGTTGTCAGGGGTCTGGGGAGCAGTGGCTGGCAAGCACCCGGCTGCCTCTGGGCTTTGTGGTGATGGAGCATCTTCAAGGGGTGCCCCAAAGCCACCCCACTGTCTGCCTCTTGGGGCTGCCAGAGCTAACCTGGGTGCTCCATCAGGTGCTGAGTGCTGGGGCAACCCCTCCCCAGGTTCTGCACTGGGATCCAAACATGGATGGAGCAGATTCTGGGAAGCTGTCACTGCACCCAGGCACCCACCTGGTGCCAGCTTCACAGGCATATGGGACTGCTTCAGCCGAGCTGCACTTCCAGCCACTGAGGTTTTGCCAGGTCTGTGCTGGTCCTCGCCCATCATGCGTGGCTCAGGGATGAGGATGTACAGCTTGTTGTAATTCATACAGAAATGAGGATGCCCAGGGGTGAGGCTTGAGCATGTTCTGCTTGTGGCTCAGGGATGAAGATTCATGGCTCACAGCTCAGGTGGGGAAGCTGCTCCTGCCTTGAATGGGGGTGAGCACTATAGATGTGTCCCACCAGGCCTCCATCCCCAAGGATGGGCACAGGAGTAAGGGAGTGGTTGGACTTTGGCAGCTCTGCTCAGCAAAGTGCAGCATCGATTTTAAGCATGTGTCTGTGCATGGTGGCCTTGGTTTTGGCAGCAGGAGCAGGGCAAAGACCTGAGACAGCAGAAAGCCAGTGCCTGACTCACCTGAAAGAGCTGCGTCCACACCGAACTGGGACCTCAGCCGGTGCATGAGTCCAGCCAGGCTGCCGAGGCTGGATGGGAGCTGCTGGGCTGGCACAGCACAGCCCCTCCAGTGGCTTCACTTTCACCAAGGGGCATCTCTGGGCAGTGGCGCATGGTGCTGCATGGTTGGTCTTCTTCGGTGCAGGTGGGAGAGCACCCATCAGCAATGCTGGAGCCCAGGCCTTTTTGCTTGCTCCAGATAGGTAAAGCTGGGGCTTATGGTGCCACAGTTCCTTTGGAGGCCGGTGTGCCCTGCTCCTGGGGAAGCTGCTGCAGGGGCTGGAGCTCCCATTCAGCCCCTGGAACAGGCGTTTGCCCCCACTCTGCTGGATTTTGCAACTAAGACTTGTGCTCTGCTGCAGCAGAAACCTCTGGTGCTGGCTGGGGGCCGATGGGGGGATGAGATGGGGGCTTCAGGACATCAACCCTCCTTCACTGCACTCCCCATTCCGGGCTTCCCTTGATCTTGGTCCGACTGCGATCCCTCCCACCAGCACGGATGCAAAACGGGTTGGCAAGCTGGGAACTGGGGCTGGCGCCGGCATCTCCTCGTGATGCAGCATCCTTGGAGGCTGCACAGACTGTCCGGCTCCAGCGCTCCCAGAGGCTCATGTGCTGGTAGCCACGAGAAGTGAGTGTGGCCCTGGGCGAGCTTCAGGGCCACGTGCTGTGGTCCCCGGGGGGGTTCATTGTCCCTCCCTGCACTCTTGGCCATGCCTGAGTGCGGCGGCTGGGAAGCAGAGACCTTAAATAACTCCAGAGCATCCTCACCCTCCCAGTGCTGGGCTTCCCGCCAGCATCCCGGGATGGGTTTTTGTGTGTGTGTGAATAAATTAGAACTTCCGAAACAAGCCCTCCGACCGCCCTGCTGCTCTAAGGCAAAACAAGCCCTGCCTGGCTCGGGCAGCACGCGGCTCTGTTTGCTGCCTCCGAGCCAGGGCTGCCTGAAACAAGCCAGCAGACTTGTCTCTTTGAGGTTTTTGGGATGCTTCCTGGTGTTTTGAGGTTTCGGAGGTGATCAGAAGCTTCGTGGTTGGACTGGAAGCTTTTCTTGCTGGCTGGGGTGGGAGCAACACAGGTAACTGTTGCAGCCGTGGCCACGAGCACTTTTAGTTTTAAACCTTATCTTTATTGTAGTTTTCTCCTGCCCTGTTGGGAAAGGAGAAATGCAACTTACCTGGGCAGCTGCTAGCAGCATGACCTGTTCCCGGGGACGGGAGAGGTGGATGTCCTGCATCAGCAGCACCTTCTGCATCTCCTGTGGCACAAAGGATGGAGCCAGGAGCAATGATGCTGGGGTGATGCTGAGCCAGCCTGGCACGCACCTATGATGGGTGCTGGGTGGGAAAGGGAGGTCCTTGTAGCCCCTTACTGCCACCTGAGCACCTCTGGTGTGTGATACCACTCTGGTCTCTGGCCATGGGCTTATTATGGGTTTCGATGCAGCAATAAAGTCAGTTCTGAGCTGAGGACGGCTTAACTGGCACCCCAAGAGCTGGAGCTGGCAGCAGTCAGATCCCAGGCTGGGGATGCAGGAATGGGGTCCTTGTGCCCACCCTGGGCCTGGTGGGATGGGTGCTAGGAGGGGTCTGAGTCCTGCAAAGCGGGTGGCAGTGCCCAGGGCCACCGTTGTGCCCATCCCGGGGTGGCTCCAGGTGCCTGATGGAGCTATTCCTTAGGGGTGTCCTAAGGAGCACACAAGGGTGCCAAGCAGGAGGGTGCAGGGATCATGGGGCTGTCAGTGCAGTGCTCCCCTGTTAATGGTTAATGTGACTGAGCAGCAGAACAGGCTGTACCTTGCTGCTGCTGTTTGTTTGCATCGCAGGCGCTCCACCCTGGCCACTGGCCCCACAACACCCTGCTGCTGTCCGGACTGTCCTCCAGCCACCCCAACAGTAGCTTTGGGGGTGACAATGTCATCTGCTTGAGCTCAGATGTAAGAGATGAGGCTGAGATCAGGCACGGTAGCACCAGTGCTCTCCAGCATGGGATATCCTAGTTGGATGTTCCCTTGAAGGATGTGGGGTGGCAGGAGCAGACCAGGATTCCTCTTTTTTATCCCCTTCTTTATTCCCCTTGGCACCCCAGCAGGGAAAGGGTGCGCTGTGCCTCTTGGCCACCATTTCTGGTAGGTGAAAAGCATTCAGAGAAAGGCACCAGCTCCCATGGAACCTTGTGCCAGCTCTGAGTGATGCCAGTGGAGATTCTGGAGGCTGTATGGTGTGTGCCCCACACCACTGCAGGGCTCTGGGCTGTCCTGGTGCCTCGCTGTAAATGCAGCTTGCATCAGATTGGTGCTCAGGGTGACAGGGTTGCAGATAAAGGTGTTTTCTTCCTCCCATGTGTGATAGAAAACAGCAACTTTGACCTGCAAGTGCTCCAGAGCAAGGCTGGGAGCTGGGTGGTGAGCCAGGGTGGTTGTGAGATGGAGGAACAATGCTGGAGATGGGGTTTGGTCCATGTGGATGGAGAGGCAGAGCTTGGGGTCTCTGGGCATGGAGACAGGCTATACTGTAGGAGGGCTCCTCTTGGCTCTTGCAGGCTGTGACTCGGGCTTTGGGCAGGCGACGGCACGGCACTTGGATGCCATGGGCTTCCAGGTGTTTGCCAGTGTGCTGGACCCGCAGGGCCCAGGGGCCCAGGAGCTGCGCAGGAGCTGCTCCTCAAGGCTGACACTGCTGCAGATGGACCTGACCAAGCCGGAGGACATCCAGCGCGTCCTGCAGCACATCCAGACACACACCAACAGCACAGGTAGGAGCCATTGCCACACCCCAGGGACACTACGCAGCTCCCCAGGACCTCAGGCAGTGTGGTCCCTGTAGTACCGTGGTACCCTGTGGGCATCCATGACAGCCTGTGCTAATGGGACTTGTCATGAGGCCCCATGATTCCTCTGCAGGACCCCCATGAGCTGGGGAGCAGTGGGGATCCCCAGGTTGGGGGGGGTCCCCCATTTGGGTCACCTCTTCAAGCATCCCATCCTCACAGGACTCTGGGGCCTGGTAAACAACGCTGGCTTCAACGACACCATCGCCGATGCCGAGCTCTCACCGCTGGGCAAGTTTCGCACCTGCATGGAGGTGAACTTCTTCGGCTCGCTGGAGCTCACCAAGGGGCTCCTGCCCCTGCTGCGCTCTGCTGGCGGCCGCATCGTCACCGTCAGCAGCCCTGCAGGTGAGCAGCTGCCTTCTGCCTGGCCTGCCAGACCCCTGGCACCCCAAGTCCCCAGTGCCAGCTGCACCCCACTGGCACCCAGCACCATGGGGTGGGCAAGTGGCATTGCTGAGCTCCACAGTGGGCACCCACACAACCCACAGGGCTGTGTGTGCACCCTGGGGACACCAGTCTGGGCAGCATCAGCCCAGCTCCCACATTGGGATTGCCTCCAAGGGGGATAACAACCCCAAGCTTAGGCTGGCCCAGGGAGGGAAAACAGCTTCCTCTCCTCCCATATTTCCTCCCTCTGGTTAAAACACATTAATTTGAGCCAAATTCCAGCTGCTTTCTCAGCGAAACAAAACCTAAGCCCTTTCTGTGTGCAGGGGCTGGGAGTGCAGTCCTGTTGAAGTCCTCCCAGTCCCTGCCTGTGCCTCGGACATGCAGGCAGCTGCCTGCTCAGTGAGCCCGCTCACTCCTCCTCTTGCTCCTGCAAGGTGACATGCCCTTCCCCTGCCTGGCAGCCTATGGGGCCTCGAAGGCAGCACTCAGCCTGCTCATGGACACCTTCCGCAGCGAGCTCCAGCCCTGGGGCATCAAAGTCAGCCTCGTCCTACCAGGCTACTACAAGACAGGTAAGAGGGAGGGTGCCCGCTGGCTGCCTGCACCTGCAGGTAAAGGGAGGCAGAAGGTGGAGCAATGGCAAAAGATGCTGCCAGGTGCAGATTCTGAGCCACCCCAGCCTTCTGTAGCCTTTGGGCTCTGGTTGGTGAGAGGCACGGTCAGGAGCAAGCTCTGCCTGCAGATCCTGAAGATCGGGAAGAGAAGACATGCTGAGCCCTGGGCTTGTTCAGCCTGGAGAAGGCGGCTTTTGGAAGACCTAGTAACAGTCTTTCAATACCTAAAGGGCTGCTACAAGAAACCTGGAGAGGGTCTTTGGACAAGGGCATGCAGGGACAGGCAAGGGGGAACGGCTTTAACTTGACAGAGGGGACACTGAGATGAGCTCTTAGGCAGAAGCTCTTCCTCGTGAGGGTGCTGAGGCGCTGGCACAGGGTGCCCAGAGAAGCTGTGGCTGCCCCATCCCTGGCAGTGTTCAAGGCCAGGTTGGACAGGGCTTGGAGCAACCTGGTCTAGTGGAAGGTGTCCCTGCCTGTGTCTGGGGGTTGGAACTGGATGAGCTTTAAGGTCCTTTCCAACCCAGAGCAGTCTGTCATTTCTGTGATCCCCTGCCACCAATGACGGCTGAACAAGCTCAGCCACATTTATGGCAGCATTGTTCCTACTGCAGGCAGGGTCTGAGACCTCTTTTCTAGTCCTGGGGTACCAGCAGCCACCATGGTGCTCCCACCATGGCAGATCTCTGCCAGGGTTCCAGCTGAAGGAGAGGGGCCACACAACTCACAGTGGGTCTGCATTCTTGCAGGGACAACATGCGACCCTGCCTTCTGGAACCTGCAGAAGAAGCAGTTAGTAGCCAGCCTACCCCAGGAGCTGCTGCAGGCCTATGGCGAGGACTACGTGGAAGAGATCAACCGCCAGTTCATCCAGTTCATGAAGGTGGCAGTGGAGGACCTCAGTGCAGTAGTGAACAGCATCACGGATGGGCTCCTGGCTGCCAACCCAGCCGTGCGTTATTACCCAGGGCAGGGCCTTGGGCTCATGTATTTCATACACCGCTACCTGCCCTATTTTGTGCGAGACTTGTTCCTGAAGGGGTTTTTCATCAACCCCAAGCTGCCACGAGCACTGCGGCAGGAGCACCACGATGCCACCAAGAAGGCCTGACCATGGCCCGCATGCGGTCGCGGGGCAGGAGCAAACCTTCTCCCGGGATTCCCCGGTACCCCGGCCCCCGAGCGTGTGCACAGCCGCCAGCATCGCCCTCCTGCACTGGGGGGAAATAGGCAGCACTAGACAGTGAAAACCAAATTGCTTTACAGAATCAGGCAGATCTGTTTTCTATTGTGCAAAAATCAATGTTTTCTAGAGACCATGGTTTTGTATTTTTTCTACCCATGCATTCTTAAAGGGGATCAGCCCTGCCTCACTCAGCAGCTCTGCACCACAAGCTTCAATGGACCGTGGGTGTTTCTCAGCTACCAAACATCTTTGTCACTGCTGTTGGAGCTACATTCACCTCCATCATCACCTCTTGGCTGGGTCATGCCCAGAACCCTGTGGTCACTGCCTCCCTGCCCTTACCACACACTCCATGTGCTCTGAGTGAGTGCAGGGGCCGAGGCCAGGCTGCCAGCACTGCAGAGCTCGAGATGAGCTACATGATTGTCACTTTTTAAATAAATTTGTTCTTGATACACCACTGGGCTCTGGCAGTCTCCTTCTGTGGTGCCACGGTTGGGCAGCGATGCCCTGCCTGCCGGCAGAACTAACCTGGGTCCCCACCACCCCTGCATCAAGCACCAGGACAGCCTCGTGTGGGACAGCAGCACCCACTAGCTGCCCTGGAAAAGGGGTAAGCCTAGCAGGAGGAGCTTGTGCCTCTTCCCCCCTTCCCCTCCGCCCCCCAACCTAAGGGCTTCCTTGTTCTTGAGTTGCACCTCCTGGGCACTCATGACCTCAGCACCCATTTGGACCCACAGACCAGGGAACACTGCAGCTCAGTGCGCTCAGAAGTGAGTGTCCAGGGTCTCGGGGATAGTACAGCATCGTGCCTGGGGTAGAAACAAGTGTCCCAGGTCATGCAAAGAGTCACACCAGGCTCCACTACCACAAACACCAATTCCCCGGATGATGCAGATTCCTCTTGGGGATCCAGGAACAGGTGCCTGAGTTAGTAAGCAGGGAGAGCACACTGCAGTAGGCAGATATTTATTGGTGTAGGCAGGAACGGAAGCACAGGATAATACACACTGCAGAGGCGACCACAGCACAAACTGGAACAGAGCTGCTCTCCATCCCTCCCTCCCTCCCTCCCAGCAGCAGCATCCAGCACGTTTCCCACCACAGGAGGGAGGGAGGCTTCTCTACTGCCACCAGTCATCTCTCAGACCTTGAGCCGCAACACAGCAGCCCAGGGTTTGGCTCCCTCACCACAAATGGCCAGGGCCTGAACAGCACATGAGACATCTCCACCAACAGCTGCCCTCTGCACTCATGAGGGTGTCCAAGGGCCAGTGGCAGGGATACAGCTCCACAGCAAGTGCCACGCAGACAACCTGCACAGGGGAGCACGATGCGCTAGCCCTGGGGGATGCAAGTGTCCAGCATCATCCACAGAGCTAAAGGAACCAAACTCCCACATGGCTGCAAGAGGAACCCCCAAGCCATGGGTCTTCAGGGGAGGAAGAAGCTCAGTCAGCTTGTGGAACCCTTTCATGGCAGGAGGGAGACTGACAGAGATGCTTCTGAGGACACAGGAAGGCTGTACTAGTGCAAACACTGTTGGAGCAGGGAGCAGTATGGCTCTCCCCTCCCACTCCTACAGTCTCTTACCCAGTCCTGACCAGTCTCTCCCAGGTCAGGGTTAGCTACAGGGAGATATAGGGATTGCACAGCAGCATTGCCTACGCTACAAACCACACTCAAAACTAAATCTCACAGGAACAAAACTGACTAGGAGGCGTGCAAAGCAATGACAAAGAGGACCTGCAGCTATAGCAAACCTGATGTTTTCCTCTGCAGCAGTGGGAACCCCTTGGAGGCAGCAGCCCCCCAGTTGGTCCTGCTCTACGAGCATAAGCACATACAGTATTAGTACAGTAACACAGGGACTATTAGATACACGACAGGAGGTGTCCCTCCTGCCCTGGTCCCTCCAGATGCCTCACAGCACACACAACTCAAAATTCAGCTTGTGAATAATTTAACTAGCAACTGTACAGCCTCCTCATCTGGGTCAGTTCCACAGACAGGACATCCCTGGAGTCTGGGCAAGGGGTAACTCAGGGAGTTAAGACAGGGGTCCCTCCACATTCCAGGGGCAGGAGGGTCAGACAGGAGCAGAGCAGGGTTAGAAGATGGGAATGTAGTTGTCAATCTTGGTCCTGTGCCGCTGGGCAATGCACTCTGCAATCCACACAATGTTGCGGCACTCCTGCTCCTTCAGCTTCACAAAGGCATAGAAGACTCCAAAGTGGAACTGGTTGAGGAAAGCCAGCTTGTTCAGCTTCACCTGGGGAAAGCCCAGAGATGGACATGTCACTTGTCCATCTCAGGTAGGAGGAGCTGGTCAAGACAAATGTGGAGCAGTTCAGGAGGTCCCATAACTATCCCAGCACGCTGGAAGGCTCAGCACAGCAATCCTGCTCTGCATCTCACCAGGTCCTCGGGACAGCTCTAACCTACAGTACATGGCTTAGGACAGGCTCTGACATTTAAAGGGTGAACTATTTAGACCCTCAGTACTGTGAAAATCCTCCTTTTCCATGTAATTACACTGGTTTTACTATTGATTCACCAGCCTCCCAAACTTGCCTCCCACACTGCTCTAATGTGTCTGGGTGAGAACATGGACTGAGCACCATGCTGGATCCCCACTCCTTTGCTGGAGCATCCTTTTCCTCCCCCCAGATTCTGTTCATCCAGATCACCTGCTGCTCCCCTTAGCTTTGCAAATGGCACAGGTAGAGACAAGCCAAGAAGTGTCTTGGGGCTCACGCACCTCATGCTCGAAGAACCTGTCTTCAAGGGTCTTGTCTCCAGGGTTGCTGCCAGCCCCTTCAAACAGCAGCTTGTACTCCTGCAGGAAGACATTACAAGAGAATATACTCAAAGCCCTCCAAGCTCAGCAGCATATGGGGGCCCTAGGCATCAAAGAGACATCCCAGCCACCCTGTCAGGTCAGCAGAAGACACAGAGAAGCCAAGAGTCTGCCCTGTGCACACATGAACGTTGGCAGTGGGGTGCTGCCAGCGCTGCACTGCACACACACCAGTTGAGGGCAATCCCCAGAGAGGCAGAGAAATCATTTATTTCATCTGTAAGCTTGTCCAGCCAGAGATCCCACCCTCCTTTGAAATGTGCAGGTCTCAAACCTGCATTGTTGCTTTGAACCTGCAGAAAGGATGCAGCAGGTACAGAGCCCTCTGTGTACAGACTGGGGTGTTTGGGCCCCTGTGCCCACAGACACTACCACATGCCCTGGCTGCTTCACTAAGGGGACACTGAGCTATTCGAATCCAAACAGGTCCCCAGCCATGCACAAGATGAGCTTAAGGAACCCAGGCACATCCAAAAAGTGTCCTCCCAAGTCAGTGTCTCCTCTGCAACTGAAAGAGATCTCAAAGCAACCCACTACGGCTAGGGAAGCAACGACTTCTCACTGAAGACACGCTTCCACTCCCAACCAGCCAAAGAGAGACTGTCACTGCTGCCACATTGATACCTCATGGGTTTTGTGGTGAGGGCAGGCCCCACAGTGTGGGATGGGGTGCACAGAGCACGGGTGGTCTCCCTACCACTACTGCAATGACAGCCATGACTAACAAACCAATGGCATCCCAGGCAAGCCAACTTCACTTTGGCCAAGAAGAGTACAGGACCAACAGGTACCAGCAGAAGACAGGCACCCCTCTCCTCAGGCTGTCAGTCCACAAGTTCCCCCAGATATGTGAGAAGCATTGACCCAGATCAGGTCCTTGCATCAGTCCCCATGGCTCTAACCCCAATCACTCACAGGGTAGTAGTCAGCAACATTCTTGACTTGTTCGTAGTCATCTGCTCGGGCCAGCTGAGCCAGGCCCTCAGGGTAGAGTTTGCCACAGTGCGGGAACAGCTTTGCTCGGTCCTCCTTGGACAGCTCAGTCCCAAATGAGTTAATGGTGATGATGAAGGCCCTCCGGTCAGCTTCAAACTGTGGGAGAAGAGCGGTTCACCTTGGGATGCAGCATCTTTGCCAGAGCCCAGCAAGTACTGATGCTGCTCTGAACAGAACCACATCAGAAGGGCAGCATGAACAAGCTGCCTTGGACACACACAGCTATCTGGTGCTCAACCGAGGGCAGGCTACACATGCAGGCTCCCAGTATGCCCAGTAGCTGGTGCATGGGGAACGGTCAGGTGATGAAACCTCAATCCCACACACAAGCCAAAGCACCGAGCAGAACCCTGCAGGGTCAAGGAGTTCCTCACCTACTGTCTCTGAGCCCTGCACACCCCACAGCTAGCCTTGGCATGGAGACAGACATGCACTGAACAGCTCCAGTTGTCTCCTGCTTGTTATCCACATGTGAGGATGAAGGTGTTGCCATGAAGGCACCAGATGGCCTTCTGTGCAACTGTGCATCCATAATGGCCAAGCCCATCATCTCCATCACCTGGGGAACCAAACCTGCTCAAAGTCATGTTCAGGCAGTGTTTTCCCAGGCGTCCCAATGCACAGGCACAATGTGCATGCAGTGCTGAGAAATATCTGCAGCATCCTTAATGCTGGCAGGCAAGCTGGGCCTGAGTACAGAACAATGAGTATACTGCAACAGCATCCAGCTACAGGGGTTTCCAGACCTACCTCCAGGATCGGGCACATAGCATCTGCTGTGGTACCTCCCAGCACCTTGCAGAACTTGTAGAAGGACTCCAGGTAAGCCTGGAAAAGAAAGGGTGGTGAGGACTCTCCTTCACAGGTTCATCTAGTGCCCCACAGGGCCATTCAGCAGAGGACAGACACCATGCATGGATGCTCCCAGAAACACAGGAGCTCCCACTCCACATGAACTTGTATGCCAAGCCCACACTAGGAACTGCTTCCTCAGGAGCCGGAGATGTAAATGGTTGTGGTTGGGTTGGTTCAAGTGACTGCATGATCTTACTGCAGGCAAGATCCCCAAGTAGCAAAGTTAAAGCCCATTTTGCTCCTTTGAGTTGTCTAACTCCACCACATTTACTGAAGTCTCACGTGGTTTCCTGACCCTGCTCTGGCCTCCACAAGCATGCCAAGCCACACAACTGTAGCTGCAAGACCTAGGCTCAGAAAGTATCGCTGTGTAAGCGGAGACAGGAGATGAGACAGGACATCTGTGAAGGAAACCAGCCATCCTCTGCAATCCTCTTTTCACACTGCAGCCACTTTGTCACCATCCCAACTGGAGCACTGCAGAAAACACGTTAGGCTAAGCACAGCCACGCTGCCTCCAGGAAACTTAATCCTTTGCAGAGATACACTACAATCCAGCTGGAAGATGACTGTATCTCCCAGGGGGAGCCTATGAAGGCTGTGCATTGCTAAAAGTACTGTTCAGCAAAAACTTTCTCAGAAGTCATCATGTGATAAAATACCTCCCTGAACAGGGCACTGCAACTAGAATTACTTAGAAGGGATGGAATAAAATGACGCTGAGACATCACAAATCCCTGCTTTGTCAC